ACCAGAGCCAAATCTGACCCTAATCCTGTGTAAAAAAGTAACCAATGCTGGAGCAGAGCTCTAGCCAATCTGAGCTCAGCACTGAAATCGGACCAATCCCTACTCTGGAAAAACTTCCCCGCCCCCAAGAATCCCTGTGTATGTTCAGCTTGGCTGGTCCAGCTGCCTTCCAATAAATCCCTTTGGGTGAAGATCTTCTTTTGTGGCGGCAACAGAGCAGAGGCAACCCTGGGCAGAGTAGAGCAGAGCAGAGCAGAGCAAGCGAGCAGGACTGTAACACTTGCCCGGGAAACCTTCCTAGGCAGAGCAGAGTTGTTACACTCTGCTCCCAGCTCCCCGCTCCCGGCTCTCTGCTTTCCAGGAGCAGAGCTGAACTGTAGCAACTTCGCCTGAGAAACCTCCTGCCAAGCAAAACTGCTACACTAGGCGAACACCCCTTCTGGAAGACCCTGTCCTTCTGGAGCGGAGCTGATACACCGGAGAAGCCTTTCTCTGAGGCAAGGCTGTAAGCTGCTAAGCTTACTGCAACCTGTGGTGGTCCTTGGCTTCTGAGCTCCAGGATACCTTTCCACCTGAGCTGTGTAACCCTCAGTATTCTGTGACTCCCGAGTGCCAGAATACCTGACCCACTCCTGTTCCATCCTGTCCCGACCCATCCCGAAACGCTTACACCTGGCATCCAACTTGGGGCTTGAAATCACACGGTAACCACTGGCCCCTGGCTGCTGGATTTTCCTCCCTTGCCTCAAGCCCTGTGAGTCTGGGATTTTCCTGTTGCAGTCTCTCTTTAGTAGCCTCCAGCTGCTACCCATTCCTGGTGCTAAACTCCAGAGAGGCTTCTGGGCTTACTGGACCTACAGCTGCTCGCTGCCTTCAGTGAGCCCCGTGAGCTCAATTCCTACCGGACATACTTCTTCTGAACATTCCCGAATCCACTTTTCAGGCAGCAGGCTCCCTCTCTCCGTGGGTCGACGACTTCATCTGAACCCTTTCCTTGGGCTGCTGCCACACCAGATCAACTGCCTCACTTGGGTTTCAGTTGTTACTGTATAGGGCCAGATAGACAGGAAAATTAAAGCCATATGTGGCTAACATAGAAATGAATTGATGGGGACATGATTTGATATAGCAATGGAATACCAGACTAACATTCCTCCAATCTCAGAAGCAAACCATAAATTAATGTTTCTGAGAAAAACATTAAAAGTTACCATCAAGAACAGAAACCAACCATTCAAGTTGTACATAAACAGAGCACAATGGCTGCTGATCTTTCAAAGGTGCCAACCTCCCTAAAATGGTTAACAGACAAACCTGTCTGGGTGGATGGCCTTTCACACCAGAAATGTTACAGACATTAGAACAGCTGGTACCAGAGCAGCCAAATACTCAGCATATTGAAGAATCAACCAGTCCTTGGAATTCTCCTATATTTATCATTAGGAAGGAATTTTGAAAATGGAGGGTGGTTACAGATCTAAGAGCTATTAATAAGGTGATTCAGCCAATGAGCTCTTTACAGCCTGGAATTCCCTCTCTGTTACCTAAAGGATGGTCTATTATAGTGCCTGACTTTTAAAAAAAACTGCTTTTTTTTCTGTACCTTTACAAGAATAGGACAGAGAAAAATTTGCCTTGACTGTGACTTCTTACAGTAATTGTCATCCTGTTAAAATATATCAGTGGAAGATTCTTCCTCAAAGGATGTTAAACAGCACTACCTGAGTCAATATTTTCCGCAACACCATTGGAAATAATTCATAATCTGTTTCCTCAATCTATAATTTACCATTATATGATTGATATCTTATTAGCTGTTTCAGATGAAGATACCTTAGGGAAAATGCTTGAAGAAGTAAAGAAAATTTTACCTTGTTGGGAATTACAAATCACTCCTACAAAAATAGAAAGAGGACATTCAGTTAGTTACACAGGATATAAGATAGGTTAACAAAAAATCAACCACAGAAAGTACAAATCAAAGGAGATCAATTTCAAACTCTTAATGATTTTCAAAAATTGTTTGGAGAGATTGACAACTCAAGAACTAGGTAATTTATTCCAAACCTCCTAAAGTGACAAGGATTTAAATAGTCCAAGGAGATTATCACCTGAAGCTGAGAAAGAATTTGCTTGAGGGGTTGGAGAGACGGCTCAGAGGTTAAGAGCACTGACTGCTCTTCCAGAGGTCCTGAGTTCAAGTCCAGTGGCTCACCACCATCTATAATGAGATCTGGTGCCCTCTTCTGGTGTGCAGGCAGGAAGAGTGTATACACAATAAATAAATAAAATGAAAAAAAAAGAATTGGATTGATAGAAAAGAAATTACAGGAAGTACATGGGGAGTGTTTGTATCCAGAGCTTGATTATATTTTGCTTATTTTACTTTCTACACTCATTCTCCTACAGAAATTCTTATGCAGAGAGAAGATAATATCCCTAATAATAAATACCACACAAACAGAATAAAAACTTACATACCTATGTAAAAAAAGGTTTCTGCAAAATTAAGACTTTGTTAATTAACAGGAATGAACCCAACAGATATTGTGGTACCTTTTACGGTTCCTAAAGTTTTCTCATTATGGACAGAAGATAAACATTGGCAAATACTGGGGTCCAGCCTTGTCTCATGTCCAGGTCCTGAGATGGAGAAAGGACATTGGCACAAGGAAGAAATCTGACCTCCAGGTGGATTCCACTCAAGGGGCCCTGAATAACTTGTGCCATTAGTATTTATACTTAGGCAGAGTTTTTCTTACCAGGGTTATATGAGCAGCTATATTATTGTCCCCTATATTTGAATTTTATGAAGTACATCATATTGTAAGAATTACATCATAATCATTATGAAGGCCTCCCATTGTTTCCCTTTGTGCTTCCCCAAATAGCATTTTCTCACCCCCTACATAATGTTATTCTAGACATAGTGTTCAGCATTTTTCAGGCTTAAATATGGTGCCAGGCACATCCTGCTCTTGAAGCAATTAGATCAGCTGGCAGATACTTGCAGGTACCAAGTTAAAAAGTCATAGACGCCAGGCATTGGTGGCACACACCTTTAATCCCAGCACTCAGGAGGCAGAGGCAGGTGGATCTCTGTGAGTTCAAGGCCAGCCTGGTCTACAGAGCGAGTGCCAGGATAGGCTCCAAAGCTACACAGAGAAACCCTGTCTCAAAAAACCAAAACCAAAACCAAAACAACCAAACAAAAAGAATGTAATAGACATGGGTAAAATGCTTTAAGGACAACAATATTTAAACCCAGGCAATTCTTTCATGTCTGCAAGGTGTGTTTTTACAGTTGCCTTTTTTTTTTTTTTTTTTTTTTTTTTACGAGACAGGGTTTCTCTGTATTGTTTCGGAGGCTATCGGTCCAGCCCGGCTTCGAACTCACAGAGATCCGCCTGCCTCTGCCTCCCGAGTGCTGGGATTAAAGGCGTGCACCATCACCGCCCGGCTTACAGTTGCCTTTTCTACAAGAGAGTTTCCTTCTCAGTCTCTCTGTAAAGGCTGACGTTGAGAAGACACTGTTTTCCTCTCACTTCACCAGATTTCTTCTTCTAATAAGCTCCTGCATATTGAAAAAGGAGAATCTTTCCATCCCATATTTTACATTGCATTTGTCATCATTGGATCATACTAGATCCTGTCATTGATTCTGTGTTTGGTGCCCAGGGAACTTACTCTAAACAGTTGGCACTATGTGTACTCTTGAGGCCTTTTCTCTACTCTGTATGCATGCCTTACTCTCCTTTCCAGAACTGTGAGACATGGTTAATGTTCCAGGGGTTGTTTTCTCATACGTACCTAATTGTCTCTATTGAGAATTAGAGACAATTAGAACAGTTCCCAGGATTAGGAGTTGTAGTTAGGAATTCCAGATAAGAGATTTGAGACACCTTATCCCTCTGTGGAAACCTAGGAGAAAATATTTGGGAAAGAGAAGAATTTCCAGGGAAAATTACAGCTTTTACGTGTGTGACTGGCAAAGTAAAACTAAAAACCAACCAAAGAATAATTACCAATGTAATGAGAAAGAAAAGAGCCTGGAAGCTGCACGAACTTTGCAAATTCCTATGCTGTCTCATGGACTACTGGGCCTTGCCAAGTGAGAGTTTGTTTCCATGGATGTCTTGCCCAGAGGAAACCCATTGGACAGGACTTGGCTGCCAAGTGAGAGTTTGTTTCCATGGATGTCTTGCCCAGAGGAAACCCATTGGACAGGACTTGGCTGCATGGTTCCCCATACTTAATGACCAACCATAGTAATGAACACTTAAAGGTATACAGCACAGAGAGTATTCCAACAGCCAGAGTTTTGTTTTGTTTTTAATGCTATTAAGAAAGGAAGGACAGCTGCGTAGAGACATTGGATAATAGAAAAAAAAAACTACTGAATTAAATCAGCCTGTACTATGTGTCCCTTCCCTCTCTTGGGTTTGTAAGAGGCTTTTTAACAGAAATCATTTATACATAAGCAAATGTAATTCATTTCACACATATACACCTAACAATTTTTGTGGGTGAAGTTAAAATTCCAATTCTCACACAGTATTTAATATCACTCTTAGTAAATACTAATAAAATGTCATTATTATTTGTTTTTTGTTGGAACAATTAAAAGATATTAATGGAAATGAAGTAATAAGTATTTTGAGGATGAAAAAAATAAGTCAGCCTGTTATACTTTAAAAATATGTTCACCTCAAAATGGAAACCACAATATGTGTTATGTTGGGGAAGAGGTTTTGCTTTTGTTTCCACAGGAGGAGAAAAGCTATGGCTACCATCAAAATGGATAAAGATTAGATTTGAACAGGAGAGACCTCTTGGTTAGAAGAGTCAATAGTTCATCAAACGGTGTGGCCATTCATGCCAAACTAACTTATAAGACTAACAAGTGTCTTTCAATTGATCAGATATGACCTGACAAAAAGGAAACTCCCCAAAGCTAGGTTTGGGCCAGGGTTTTATTTTTGTTTTTTTTTTTTTTTCAGGAGAATGAAAGCATCCAACTAAGGAAGCACCCAGTGGACAAATGAAACATCTTAAGAAAAAGGATGAATCATCCAGAGAAAATGTCCCAAGAAAAAAAGTAAATTGGTCTAATGATATAGCACATCTCAAACAGGATAAATTTTCCCAAATGTTTTTTTCTGCTGTTCTCTACAGACATATAGGGCAAATAACCTTTTGGTAGTCCCAGTCCAATTAAAAATCAAAGCTGGCTTTGGAGGTAAAGTATGGTTCTCTCCTTCTCTAAACCAAGCATGCTTGTTAAAGGAAAATCCCAAATCCCTGACTCACGTCAGAAGAGCTACTTGGTATGCCACAGAAGAAAAACCAAAATTAGGGGACTATTCTTTTGCCACTAATCTCATAATCCTTTGGTTTTACTTTGACTCTTTAAAACTTTTTTAAGGTATAAATATTATCTCAATATTTATAAGAATTATAAATTTAAACCTTGTGTTGTAATGTTAATGGTCTTATAGGGTACTAATTTTAGAAAAAGGCTTAATCAAGTTTCCTGTACATGATTTCAGGCTTGAGTCTCTATCTAGGAATTAAATTTGTGTACCCCAAATGTACTTAACAAATTGTGGTCATTTAACCTCTCTGAGTTCTGCTGCATATGACATATAAAATGTTTAATTTTTCTGCTGTGAACCTTGACCATTCTGTAGCGATCTCTGAAGACTCCACAAGAATGATAGGGCCCCACAACAATAATTCCACCTGGATTGTGGTAATGCCACTAAGCCTTCAAATACCACCCAGAGATCAGATTTGGACTACAAACTGCTCAGGACAATTTCATGGTGACCAGTTGAGATGGTCCAGTCTCATGTACTACTCCAACCAGGACTTCAGATGAGCCCTACACTTTCCCGTCACACAGGGACTGGCAACAGATGATACAGCTAGCGCTCCCAAGACTTGACCATTATCTCAGTTTTTCTCATGGTCTCCTAGAGACGCCTGTGCCTCCCCAGGCACCAGGAAGCAATCTAGAAAACATGACACCCACATTCTGAAGAGGTGGTGGGGTGGGGTGGGTGGTTTTTGGTCATTCAAGAGGTTATGGATAGCTGTCATCATTTAGGGGAGTTGGTCACAAGTGTTGTCAGAAGTGCTCAGCAAATAGGCTGAACAAAAATTAGATTTAGGGATCTCATTCTGAAAAGAAAGGGGGTATAGAAATGATAGAATGAAAGGGTAGATTATTGAATCTACTTTTAAACTAACTAAAAAAGCAATTATCTTAAATATTTTTCATTGTAATGGTTTGTACTGAACACATATTTCTACTCTTGTTGAAGGTATTGTACCTGTGCAGCTTACTTAATAATGTAATGCAGATTTCTAATCATTGAAAGTTATTCTTAAATGTTTAAGATGATTAAGAAATGTGAGTTAATATTCATCTATAACAATTAAACTTGCAGTCACATTAGGTATGTTATCAAGGTCATACCAAGATATATTTTAGATAGACAAGTAGTCTTCAAACACTTGAGAGATCTGCCATGATGTTTTAGTACTACGAGGCTTTTCATGTTACTAAATGAGACTCTCCTCTTGGCAGCACCAACCTACTTCAGAGAAGATGACGGGCATCTGGAGTTTCCTTTTTTTGGCAAAAGTTAGCTGCTGGGCAAGAAACTGCCCTTATTTTGACTGATGGAAGTATGCTATCCAAATTGGACAAGCAGGACACAAAAGAGAGGACTGCTAAACTTTTTCAAAACAAGGTGTGACAGTTCTTCAAAATTCCTGCTTCACAGAAAAGTCTGTCAGATATTCTAGGCATGTATGATGAAGATGGATGTCCCAACATTGCAAAGGAACCTTGTATAACTGTCCAGACAACCAGATGTTTCTGTCATTTCTATAGTTTTAGAAGTTGTTCTACATTTCCTATCTTCTCAGGCAATATTATATCCTTCTGGGGTCTCTGATGGAGTTGAAGAGTAGTTAGTTATAGTTATAGTTTTCCTTGTTACCAAATCCAGAAAAGAAACTCACATCAGAGGTATAAAGTGTGTAAGGTTGAGAGATATAAAATGATGGTTTTGGGTTGGTGATACATGTTAGCATAGAAAGTGAAGAAGGTACAAAACTTTGAACTCACCAAGATAGGATAGATAATGGAGTATTTTCTCTGCATTTGTCAAATGCAAATGAACTGGACATTGTGAATGTAATTGTTCCCTAATAATTGTTCTCATTGTAATTAGTTTTTCTGTGTCAGAGTTAAAACCTTCCCTTTTTATTTAGACAAAAAGGGGGAAATGTGTGATATTTTGATTACATTCTGATGCTCCCAAGACTGACAATAAAGCTTGTTTTGAATCAGAGAATAGTTAGCTACTAGGTGACCAAAATTAACCATCGAGGTTTTGAAGGACTGAGGACAGATAGACACAGGAAATAGTAGTGGGTGAGGTGAGAGAGGGTTTTGACCCTTTTAGATGGAGGGATGAAAGAGATAAATCACTGGTCACTTCTTCAAAGTTTCCCTGATCATTCAAATTCTTATTCCAATATCTGATTCCTGAGTTTTTATTGATAAAGCATAATTAGATAAATGTATCAGCTAGATGGACAAAATTGGCCTCTATAGTAAATGAGACAATAATGTACCTTTTTTTAAATTTTAGAAGCACTCTTAGTTACATATCCATCTCCCCATTCCCTCACCTGTCCATCCTCCCATGCTTCCCACCGACCCCCCAACCTACCCCCTACCCACTCCCCAGAGATAGTGAGGCCCTCCACAGGGAATCATCATTTGGGGGAGGGCACAGGCCCTCCTTCCCGTATCTGAGCTGCAATAGTATCCCTCCATAGGGAATGGCCTTCCAAAGTCCATTTGCGGTCTAGGGATAAACACTGACTCCACTGTTAGAGGTTCCATAGACTGCCCTGGCCTCCTAGCTGGCACCCACATTCAGAGGGCTTGGTTCAGTCCGATGCTGGATCCCCAGTTTTATGACTAGGGTCTGTGTGCTCTCATTAGGTCAGGTCAACTGTTTCTGTGGGTTTCTCCAGCACCATCTTGGCTCTTTTGCTCATCTCTCCTCCCTCTTTGCAACTGGATTCTGGGAGTATGGCTCAGTGTTTAGCTGTGGGTGCCTGTTTCTTTGATCAGCTACTGGGTGAAGGTTCTAGGAATGGCAACTAAGATAGTCATCAATCTCATTATAGGGGAAGGTCATCAAAGGCAGCCTCTCCACCACTGTCTAGATTCTTAATTGGGGTCATTCCTGTAGGGATCCCCTAACATTTCCCCTGTGCCAGATCGCTCTCCAAACCTGTACTGGCTCCCTCTATCAAGGCATCTCCTTCCTTGCCCTCATCTCTTTCTCCCCTGTCTCAGACCTCTCCTGTTCTCCTCCTGCCTCCCCTTCTCCCTCTCACTCCTTCCCACTTCCCCCCTCTCCCCTGCTCAGGGGTTCTTGTCCCCATCCCCTTCTACAGGGAACCATGCATTCTTCTCTTGGGGTCCTCCTTGTTTCCTAGCTCCTCTGGTGGTGTGGACTGCAGGCTGGTACTCCTTTGCTCTATGTCTAAAATCCATATGAGAGAGTACATACCATGTTTGTCTTTTTGTGACTGGGTTACCTCACTCAGGATGGTTTCTTCTAGTTTCATCCATTTGCCTGTGTTTTTTTTTTTCTGCTGAGTAGTACTCCATTGTGTAAATGTACCACATTTTCTCTGTCCATTCTTCAGTAGAGGGACATCTAGGTTGTTTCCAGGTTCTATTACAAACAACGCAGCTATGAACATAGTTGAACATATGTCCTTATTGTATGAATGTGCATTATGCCCAGGAAAGGAATTGCTAGATCTTGAGGAAGGCTCATTCCCATTTTCCTGAGAAACCGCCATACTGATTTTCAAAGTGGTCATACAAGTTTGCACTTCCACCAGCAATGGAGGAGTGTTCCTCTTTCTCCAAATCCTCTCCAGCATAGACTGTCATTTGTGTTTTTGATTTTAGCCATTCTGGCTGGTGTAAGATGATATCTCAGAGTTGTTTTGAGTTGCATTTCCCTGTTGGCTAAGGATTTGAGCACTTTCTTACGTGTTTTTCTGCCGGGCGTTGGTGGCGCATGCCTTTAATCCCAGCACTCGGGAGGCAGAGGCAGGCAGATCTCTGTGAGTTCGAGGCCAGCCTGGTCTACAGAGCGAGTTCCAGGACAGCCTCCAAAACAATACAGAGAAACCCTGTCTCGAAAAACCAAAAAAAAAAAAAAGTGTTTTTCTGCCATTTTAGACTCCCCTATTGAGAATTCTCTATTTAGTTCTGCATCCTACTTTCTAATTGGATTGTTTGGTGTTTTGGTGGCTAGCTTCTCGAGTTCATTGTATATTTTGGAAATCACCCTTCTGTCAGATGTAACTGTTTTTAAGCTTGTGTGTGTGTGTGAATATGTGTTTGTGTGTGTGAATGTGTGTGCTCACAGAGGCCAGTGACAGCATTAGAGTTCCTGGAGGGAGGTACAGGATTATGAGCTGTCTGATGTGTGTTCTTGGAACTGAGCACAGGCCCAGGGGAAAAGCAGCAGGTGATCTTAACTGCAGAGCTGCCATCCCTGCAGCTTCCCAGTAAAGTCCTGAGTCCTTCAAAATAATCGCATCCAAGGGTGGGGCATGATGCCAGTGTTTTACCAAGGGAACAGCATTTCTCAGGGAAGAAGTTTAGAAAATGGGAGTTTTCCTGAGACTTTTACCTCTTCACGCACCTGTTGTTGAACAGAATGTATGAAAACACGTCAAAGTATAATTACAGTGAATTAACCTAGGAATCTATGCTGAAAGGAAGCTATTATTTGAAACTGTAGCTCTGAGGTTCCAGCGAAAGTGACATATTTATTGAGTAATAGACAGCTGAGAGTTTACAAAAACAAAGCTTCCAATCAATTATGTAATATTTCTTTCACAAGTACCGGAATGTACGTGTAAGGAAAGAAGCTTTTGTATACTATGGTGAAGTTAATATTGATTAGAAAATCCAGTTATCACTGCAATTTCCTTTTGATAGATCCCAAGATGGCTGTTTGTCAGTAGGGGAACTTGTGATTAATTGGCAAGATGGAGTAATTAGCTGTAAACTCAGAATACACCTTGAAACTCCCAAGTCTCAGAACTGTGGTTGAGGTTTCTGTTTTGTGTTGTGTACCTTGGGGTTTATCCCCTTGGGAACCACCCTGTTTTACTTGGGGACAATTTTTCATTTAAAATGTTTGAAAATCGCATGGTTGCATAGTTGCTTTCACTGTTAAGATGGGGAAAATTCCTGAGTTTAACAAGATTCTGTGTAACTTGTCCCCCTTTCCTGCATCCTCCCAAGCCTGACCCTCTTTTCCCTGGGGTCAGATGGCACCTACTGAGTGAGAGGCTGCTCTCTCTTTGCTTCTGATCAACGAATCTTCAGGGAGGTTGACCTGTAAGCTCTGTCATTTATATCAGATAGCCATACATTCATCCACAGAAGACAGAAAGCATTACAATTGGTTAAACAAATAAAGGTTTATTTGTGCATGATGAAGTCTCTTGGTAGGTGCAGAGGCTTCCCTTGCCTCCAAGGGTTGACCCCAACTTCCTTCCATCTTTCTGCACTTTGTACTCCGTAGTGTGCAGACGCACACCTTCCAGGAATGCAAGATGGCGGCTCCATCTCTATGTCTTATCACTAAATTCCAAGTAGGAGAAGATAGAGATACAGAGGACAAAAAGTGTTCTTTTTTTCTCACCAGTTATTACCTTCTGAGACACTTAGGATTAATTGTACAAAAAGCTGGTACCCTGGCGTTTTAGCTTAAACAATAGAAATAATCTAAAGAAAAGTTGGACACTGTTTTCTAACAACCAAACTGGAGTTTCACTTTATTTCCTCTGGAATACAAGAAGTCTTCATGAGATCCTTATTATCGTGGATTGTCTGTGTGTTTAGCCAGTGACAGAATGACATCAAATAATGAGTTATCCAATAGGAGGTCTGTAGGTGACTTGACCTGTGGCTCACCTGTTCATATCAGTCATGGTTCTCCAGAGAAAGGGACAATCCTGTGTGTAGACATCTAGAAAAATGCTTATTTTAAAGCTTTCGTTCACGTGATTAGCGGGGGCTGGCAGGTACACAATCTTGCTGCTGTGTTTATGTGTTGCCTTTTTGTTCTATTCAAAGCTTCGATACATCACAGGGCACTTGTTCATATTGTAGAGGTCGCCTGTTTGATTCAAAACCCACTATTTTCAGGGCTAGAGGTGTTGCTGAATGGTGGAGTGTACACATACAGGCGATAGGAGCAACAACAACGCACCCAGTTCAAGAATAAAACAAAAGCCATCCATTTGAATGGTAATCCCATCTAAAATCATTCTGAGAAAAACAACCTAGAGAATGTTTGCTCACATAAGAGCAGAGCACAGGTGATGAGAGGAACCGTGAACAAATTCAATCCTGGCTTCAAAGGGCAGACCCGAGGCCAGGTGAAAAATTTCCCAAGTTTTCAGCAAGGCTGACAGGCAAATGTTTCCTGAGAAGTTAGCATGCAACAGCTGTCTCCAGGGGTTCTAAACCTTACTATTTTTTTTTTTTTTGGGTCTGGGACTCCAGCAAAGGGCCTTGCATGTGTTAGGTGATCACTGTATCACTGAGCTACATTCCCAACTATGAGCTTTCCTTTGGAGAGCTGGGCCCAATTTTTAACCAACAACCTTCCTTGCTCCATTACTGTCCCTAACCTGTGTGGCCGGGACAGGTTTAGGGATGATGTTTGTTACTATATAAATGAAGAGAGGACAAATGCCAGCTCAGGGCCCCATCACAAGCAGCTTCTGGTATGAACACAGCTCAAGGGGGACCTTGGAATAGTCCCAGGGCAGGTGAGGGACAAATGCACCATCAGGCAGAACTTATATGGGAAGGAAGTTTACTGGGGAAGGAAAGGGAGTTCAGGGAGAGCGAGAAGACAGAGACACAGAGAGAGAAGAGACAGAGAGACAGATCTGCCCATCTCTTCAGAGAAATGGCAGAAAGAGTGGGAGTAGGCAGAGCCCATTTCTTAAAGGGACCTCATGTTTCTGCCTAGAGCCAAGGTACAGCTTGCTATGTGCAGGGGTGACACACTTAGCCCGGTTCCCAATGGGTGGGGCCAGGCTTGCATTCTCCTGGACGATAAGTTTCTGTCTCTTTGGTTTTCCCACAAGCAAAGACTCTGCTGTGACTCAGTTGTGCTGGTGGTGGACTGTGATGTGGGGAGAGAGTAGATATTTTTGTTCATCACAGAGAATGTTAGCAACCGCTGATGTTGGGACAAGTAGAGGAGACTCACTGGGAGACTCA